GTAATACTTTAATATTACGAAAGCTCACTCGGAGGAAATTATCATTTCCGATCTCATAACATGCGGTGTATTATTCCAGATAATATTGTATCGTGCATATTATGCAAGCGATATGAATCACACATTATTATAAACATTGCATAAGCGAATTTCTTTTAATTAATGAGAATATTTAAGTAATTAAAGTCTGTAATGCACGAGTACCAACGAGTTCATTTATTTTTTTTGTTTACGCGATGGCTTAGTGCAGTACTTCCCAAGCTTTTTCGTTTAAATTTTCTCTTCGCCTATCTTGGAATTCTTTATTCCTCCAACACTATTCCTGAAAACTATTTTCATTTGTTTAATCTTCAATATATACCCAGCTAGTGTTATGTGCAATTCGCGCCTCTGTTTTTGTACAGCTCAAATATTTTATAATGTGTACATAATATTATAATGAAAATATAAAAAATAGGTAAATACTTAGTAATACTAACACGAATAAATAGCATAATTCGTCCCAAAGAACGACGATTGGGAAACGTTTGCTTAGTGGATGGCTTGTATACCCAAGCTTCAAAATCGTGTAATTTGACATCTCTATCGATTCTTTTCCCATTCTAATCACGCCACTCTCGACTTCTAGAATAAAGAGTTTGATATGAATGCCGAATTGCAAATAATCCGTGTTCCCCATAATTCAGCAGTTATTTATGCACCACTTTACGTCTGGCCTAAGTTGAAACACATCTCATAAAAAACTAGCGCCCAAATCACCTTCTAAATTGCTTATGACAATCCGTACCCGATATTTAGTTGGGCCCTAATTTATTATGTTTCATAGTATTACGATTTGATAGTATATAAGCACGTGGAGTCTGTTAACCCAGTCCACTTGAGAGTTCAGGAATATTTGAAGGTCTCATACGAAAAAATAAAAAAAATACTTGAATTGGCCAATTTTTTCACGATTTTTATACGACTGTTTACCACTAATTGTGCTACAAATATGAATCTGAGTGTTGTCGGGAATCCAGAGTACGTGCCAGATTATATTCCCTCCACCATACACTCATTTCGATCAAATTATGACGTTTGTCGACTATATAGAACCATTCGCAATGTTCATTATTTTGCGATTAATATTTGTACTGTTGATCTTATATTCCTATAAAGTTCAGTTATTATTATTTGATCTGCATAAAATGCATTTAATGCGAAGTGATTATGATATGAAGTACAATTTTTTTTTTCATATCCTAAAACAAAAGTTTTGTTTATCTCAAATCATATTTCAATTATTCTGTCTTATTTTGACTTACTATTCAATATATTTTACAGCTGATTATTTTTAACAGTTTTTTCCCGATAAAATAACGTGAACAGAGTGGTGATATCATCTTACCGCCGAAGTAACGATTCTATCACCGGGACGAAATAGCGTATTAATATTTCCTTTTCCTGAACGAGTCATTTAGAGCAACAATGAAAACATAACACGTTTCCATTCAAATAGACACAACCTATTTACATAGGCGTTCCACACATTTATTTTATCGTAGTCACTTTTAACTATATAATAATGTTTGGGTACTCCCTAAGTATTTTACCAGGTTAGGGTTAGAGCATAAATTTATTCCAATTTCCCTTGATTTTAGTTCTATTGCGAGTTAGGGGACTAGCCAGGCGACTCCCGTAGTATTTGTACATAAAATTATGGAATAACCCTAACCTGGTACATATAATATGTTCCGGTGTCTCACATACTTCGATAGTACCAATATTCGGTATAAGGTGCTTTCAACCCCAGCAAGGCCTTGTACAAGCCTACACTGATATCTAACAATACGTCGAGAGCTAGGTATTTTCCTATTTCGATATTCCCTGCCAAATGCTTTAAACCCTGGTTGAGATAGTGGTATGGTATTTCAACTTTGGAAAGTTATTCCCCTTATGTCAATATAGCGCAAATATATATATATTTTATTTATCTACAATTTATTTAAAATCTTTTGCAAACATGTTATCCAGCGCAAACGATTTTATTTTGGTCCTCCTGTAGTATGTGAACCAAGATGGCAGACAGCGGAACGTAGTATGTGTACCAGGTTAAGGTTAGGCCACAATTACGGTTCAAATACTACGGGAGTCATTTGGCTAGTCTCTGAACTCGTAACAGAACTAAAATAAGGAAAATTGGAATAAATCTATGGCCTAACCCTAACCTGGTACACATATTACGTTCCGGTGTTCGCCATCTTGGTTCACATACTACGGGAGCGCCGTTATTTGATACATCCACGATCAATGCCAATGATTAAAATAAGATGGCCATGACTAGCGCAGCGGTTCCCAACCGGATGTCCGTGGTCCCCAAAAAAACGGTTGGAGGGGCCACAATACTAGGTGCAAAATTGAATTTAATGCAAATTCGTTTGCATACTTTTTCTTTATAAAAAGTTGTCCGTTTTTCTTAGTTTCAATATATGGCAAAGGTATTTCATAGGTTGTTTCCACTTTCTTTGAATATAATGTGATTTGGAATCTACCAAATAAAAAACACTATAAATACCTCTGTGCTTTTCAAATCATATTGCATAGATCCACATGTGTACAAACTTCAAAAGTACACATTAACAATCACAAAATTGAGTTTTGTTTAGAAGCAGCATTTTTTCGTGTGAGTGCGCCGTGAGTTTTTTCCCTGGTAAAATGGCGCCGCGCGAACAAAGTGTTTGGGAACCGCTGCTTAACCGCATTGGCATAGCAGGTTACACATCTCTGGTCCAAATTCTATGCCCCACCTCATCTTTTTGTAATATAAGGGGTAGGCAATGCAAAAACGGAAAAAATTCCGGGATTCCGATAACAGTACCTTATTGATATGTCCGCAGTGAAAGTAGTGAAGGAGCGGTAAAAAACAAAACGGTATGTCGGCACTATTCAATTTATTGAAGTGGAAAAAAAAAAAAACACTCAAAATGAAAAAAAATTAGTCCGGTTACGGTTAAAAATACAAAATGCGCTGCAAATTTAAATTTCAAATCATTTCTAATCCTAACTCAAAACTGATATTTACTCATTTAAATTTTGAAACGTGGCGGAGGTGTTTCCTTCAAATTTCACATTTTACATTAGTGGCGGTGGCTTCTTACAAAAGATCCAATATGTACTTTGTTCTTTCGGATATAAATAGAGCGACTCATATTTCTGCAGACTGACGTGTAACACTAACTAGACGTCACGACTTTCATTTTATTGGGCTTGAAAATGATACTGCGATCAAAAGGTATTTTTACGCGCTATTATAGCACGGGGTCACGCGTTATTGTACCACACCTTAATTCGGTAAATCGGGTTGTGGAAGTCAGGTCAGGGGGTGAACGGCTGACTTTTTTATGATGCTAATCTAGCGTGCGGTCTACCACACTTTCGGGTGAGATCTACTACCTTAATCTAGCGTGAGGTTTACCACACTAGAGCGTGGGTTATATATCAAACTAGTACTATAGCGTGATTCATTTTGCTTCTCTAGTGAATATGATGAACACTTAAAGTGTAATCCTATAGTCAGGGGCGGCTCTCGAATTTCCGCTATAGTACAATAATAAAAAAAAAACTTCTCTCCCCATAATCGGAGTTTTCATGCGGCAGGAGAAGCCGAATTTAGAATATTTAAACCGTAAAAATGATTTCCTTTGATTTGAGATGCAGTTTTTTTCGAAATAGTGTTTCATGTGATGAAACTTTCTATGCAAATTATCAACGAATTCACGAATTCAAGTGCTTATGTAGTTTAATATCTTGTAATATGTACAAAATACCATCAAATACTCCTCTCGCAGGATAACCAGAGGCGCCGTCGTTAGCATTTTCCTGACGCTGAGCACGATGCGCCACACCGTCGAGCCGTGTTGGTGAGGGTGTGGTCATTGGCTCGGTTCAAGTTGGGCTTGAGAAACCATTCATCGAAGACTCAAAGTAACTCGAGTATTCTAAATATAATGACTCGTCATCAGCTAACTGCCAGCGGGACTTGATTAAGTCCTTGTCTCGACTTGATAACTTTTTGCTGGACTTGATTTTCTATCTAACACGGATATTGACTTGCATCCATGAACACCGGACCAAGTTATAAAAATATTCCATGTCAAAATACTGTTTGCAGTTGACTTGATTTTGGTTTAGTCAATTTCCATTTTGAGTTGGGTCTGTTCGACAAAATAAATCCCCTGTGCACGTTGCGACTGCGTTGCATTTATCCGAATAAGATAGATGAATGATACTCAATTTCGCAGTAAAATGGCAATTAAAAAAAACTCCTAAAGTAAATTTGAAATTTCACTCGTCCTTCTCAGGGAATTGACCTCGGAGAAAATGTAGTTTTGTGATCACAATCTTCTGCAAGACTGCAAATTTAAGAGAATTTCAATTGCAAAATGTTTGATTTTTTATGATTGAGTATTTGTTAAAATATGTCTCTGAAATATATATATATATATAAGAATATGAAGACTAATAATAAACAAAATTTTATTTAGTCCTTTTACGAAGTTCTTCCACAAGATATACCTTACACTAAAAGGCAAGAAAATGCTGAAAATTGGTAAAATTAAATTTTCTTCACTTTAAAAAATTTAAATTTGATACTCTGCATTTTTTTTAATTTCTAACAAGCACATTGTGTTTCTTTTTGCATTCTTAGCAATTTCCACTATTTGTCATTAGTAGAAATTTAGTAGCAAACCCTAAAAAATCAAGTCTGTAGCGTGGTTGTCATCATGGAAAAAGAACCAGAAATATTTTATCCCGGATCCATTGCTAACTAAATAGAATATGAAAGACTTAAAAAATCAATAAAAATTGTTCCATTTTCAGGTATTGCGGTTGTTTTCATCTTTGTTTGCATTGAGTATATCAATGCAGCAAATGTAAATTGCGAAGATCCTCGTGCTTGAATCTTCAATGCAAGAGAATGCATAAAAAACACACGTTGTTACAAGTTTGTAGGTGAAAATATAGGCTGCCCAATATGCGAGTGTGATGACCATGCAGGTAATTTTCTTTCCTTTGTTAAAACGCTTCCGCCATTTGTTTTCAGGCAAAAGCTATTACAGAGTGACCCGTTAACAGAACATAACGTTTATGAAAAGCGACCTTTTCTTCTTTATGCAGAAATAATTGAAAAATTTATTTGGTCCTGTTTTTTGGGAATCAGGAGCACAATATAATTTCTATCATTTTGTAGATAAACTGGGACAAAGGGCTCAGACTAAGAGAGTGTTTATATTAATGTGGTAGTGAATATTTGGTTGCATATTTGCAACGTTTCGTTTCGTAATTCCATACTCAATCAATTTTCCGAATTTATTTTTTTCAGACAGGATTGGTGACATGGTAGCCAAAAGCCCAAAAGATCAGGCAGTTTTTCACAAGAGATATAGAACTTCTTATTATTACAACCACATCATGAATCAGGTAAAATTTAGATCTGTTCACATTAAAGATAACTTTTAAAGCGTATGACTTAACCGTACTGGCATCGCACATTACAGATCTCGGATTCAAATCGTATGGTCACATAACAAAAATGCCAATACCGAGAAAATAGCTAAACATCAAACTTTTGCAAAAAATATGGAGCTGCAATTTCCACCATTGGAATGCCTTCATAGCGCTATGTAACGAAGAATACCTTTAAATAACACGTCCACGCCTCCGTTTCGCTATGCATGGGAATCACCTACAGTCTCACGCGAATCTTATTACGATCACCGCAGCAGTAAGATTCGAATCTCCGATCCCACAAAGGGTAATAAAATGTGCATCCGAGTGTGTTTATAATATTCAGCGTTCTTACATTCACGACGTGTCAACTGCAGATTAACTGACACTTATTGCTCGTTACATGTATCAAATGAAATGAGAATATCTAAACCGAAAAAAGCGATTTTCTTTGATCTGAAATGAAATTTGTTTTGAGGTGGTGTTTTATGTAACAAAAATTTTTCCGAAAATGACCAATTTACCACAAATTCAAGTGCTGAGATAAACCATTTGCCGTCAAAGTTTTTTCTATTCTATTCAACTATAAGCAAACCCTAGTTTAATTGCTTTCGATATGATTCAATATATAGTGGATTTATATATCTCGTTTTTGTTTTTTTTTAAATTTTCCCACAATGTATCCCACAATAAAATACTCTTACGAACAAGTCATCTTTCGTCTCGATAATCCATAAACTGGAGGAGCCTTAGGGATTTTAGTGAACATAATTTTCAATTATCGGCTGTATATCACATACGAAAGAATGTCTACGAAACGTACAGACAGTCTGGTCCCGCCCACTGAAACACACTTCCGTAATAGATCCGCGCGTTTCTCTGGTAGTTTTGCTACATTGACTACAAGTTGATTGAAAACAAACAAAACCCTCACATCGAACTTTCACAACTATAAGAACAATAAAAAAACGAAGATACGGTAAAGTCAATGAGGTTTTTTTCCTACACGTAGATATTTCAGTGTGAAGTTTGGCACTGCTTTTTGCTAAAAAGGTCACGAAGACTGCCATTTTGTGAATCTTCTGAAATTTTTCTTCAGGGACGTATTTTCCGGAAAAATCGAGTATTGGCAAGTTTTTAAACCTTTCCTTCAAATCAGATTGTTACTTGTACGTTCTTCAAGCGCCAAAGCAATCCAAAGTTGTCAACCCATCAATATTTTGCTTCGTTACCGAAACATTTAAAGATTTTATGTACGCACGTACCACACCTAAACACACAGCATTGGCAATTATTACTTTTGCCCCGGGCAGGTTTGACCAAGTAATATTCGATTGGTGCTACATTTGAACGAGAGACCACGTGAAGATTGTCTCACAGATCAGATAACGTTAAAGAGACCAAGTGTTTAAGCGACTATGACACCTTTATGTATCGATATCTCCCAGGTGGTTTCGATTAAAAATGGCACTCATGGCTCGTTTGAAAGGGCAAGTAGAGCGCAATTCAGGAAAATAAAAAATTGTTTGTATCAAGTCTTTGTATACTACATCACTCGAAAAATGAAATTTTTACTCAATTTTTTTTATTCAATTGCGAAAATACAGCGCGGGCCACTCAAAAATCATTTACGGGCCATATGTGACCCGCGAGCCACGGGTTGGTCGACCCTGATGTAACCGGTTGTTTGAATGCTGGCTTCAACTATCAGCAGAACCTGGGAACCCACCGGCTTGTTTTTGCACCAAATACTTTTAGAAAAGTACATCTCTCGTCTATTTTCTGTCTTGGTTCACACAAACATAAATTCAAAAACTCTGTTTCAAAACTCAGAGTTTTTGTGATACTGCAGAAATGTAAATGTCAGGTTATGAATTACTGATTTTATACTTGACAGGGAAATGCTCCAGAGGGTGCTCAAAGTGGCGCTGGAACAGGGCCAAATTTACAGCTGTGGACAGTTTACGAAGACGCAGAAGGAAATGTACTCGTACCATATGAACTTGGTGCTGTGAGTAAGTGATGAGTCATTTTAAAAAAGTCAAATTAAAAAAAAATTACTTATGAAACGTGGGAAGAATGAGTCACTTCCATAAAGCATAGTATTATTTCTAAAATTTGGAATTGGTCAATTGCAAATAGCCGATGGTTTGGACGACCTTGGAGGGATAAAAAAAAACAAGATGACGGCGATTTTTAATTATTCGATTCGATTTCAATATTCAAGAAGCCTTCGAAGTTATTTACAATTAATTTTCGAATTTAAAAATTTAAAACTTTTTTCCGGCCTCTCAAATCCTTCAAAAAAACTTCTCCTGCAACTTCAATATTACTTTACTACGCCTACTCATCACTCTAGGATGTCAGAATTTTATGATAATTAATTTTGTTGGACACTCACTAAACACTAAAATATGAGTCAACGGTCTAGTCTAGGTACTTCTCCAATTTTAAAATTTGGAAGTTTAATTTGTAAATGTTGTAGCTAAAGTAGTTCACTAGTTTACTTAGGTATAGAGTGGGCCAGTTTCAGATAATAGAAGTAGTAACTGGACCGGAGACTCAAAATCCAATATGAAAAACTATGAATAAAAACAGGTTTTTACGACAGTTATTTCAACAGCTAGGCTAGCGTTTACGCAATAATAGGAAAGCACAATGTAACAATTGGGGTCTTTATGACATTATATTCATTCCCAACGGAAATTTATATTCATAAAAACTATAGTCGTAATTTTAGCAGACACAATGGGGCCGGATATAAAATACTTGGTAAACGGATCCGGCCCGCGGGTCATAAATTGTCCATCCCTGACTCACGCCTACTGATATAATAAAAATACACTGAGCTGTAAAAATTTACGATAAACTATATTCGTTTCAGCTCAGGACGTTGAAGATTTATTTGAGGAAGCGATTGCTGATTACAACGCTAATACTTGTATCAGATTGGTTCCGCGTACAGGTCAAGAAAATTACATAAGAATTACGGGCGCAAATACTGGTTGCTGGTCCGAAGTTGGAAGGTCGTTCGTCCAACCAAATGAGGTTAGAACTTTGGAAGGTTGTACGACACATTTTTATATTTTCATTATTATTTATGATGCGTCTGAAAGTAGAGGAATCTTTCATTAAAAATTCTACTTTATACGCAAAGGTTGTACGACACACTTTTATATTTGTATCAATATTTATGATGTGTCTGAAAGTAGAGGTATCTTTAATCAAAAATTCCACTTTATACGCTTGCTCTAAAGCAGTGGTTCCCAACCATTTTGGGTTGCGACCCCTTTGGATATTTTCCAAGATGGCGCGACCCCTTTCACAATATATGCTGAATTTGAATTAAAATTAGTAGCTCCTGCGATTTTTTGCAAAATAGTTATCTGAAATCAATTCAAATACTAGCAATGATTCGATTCTCACGTTATCACAAAAAAAGTTTCCTATAACTGCCTTTGAGTACACTATCACTACCATTTAATGAGTACCATATTTTCCGGATATTAGGCCGATTTTCATAACCTAATTTTTCAACCTGTTTTAATGGAGTCGGATTATTTGGGTGTATTAGCTTTCGACCAGAGCAAACCGGGAATGAATCACCTAAACTGTACAAAAACTGGAATGAGATTGGTCAACCCAAAAACTGGTTCCATTGTTCCTCGTTTTTAATTTTTACGTCTATCAACCAATTTATTTTTCCCATCACTGATTAAGATAAATATTTTTGAAAAAAGTCGAACGTTGTTTTATTCTGCGATCCCCTGAAAAGTGCTTGGCAATCCCCAGGTTGGAAACCACCGCTCCAAAAGTTGTCTTGAAGGTATTTATGTTTTAAAATTCAAAAACGTCTGATGTAACTAGCTACTGACGGTTACATTATTCTGCGCAACTCACCCAAATTCAAACATTCTGGTGCTGTAATGGGTTGTGGGTTTTATTTTAAAAATGAGACACAACAATACGTATACACATTCCCGTACACATACACATACATACACACAAACGTAACTTCACATAAACTCTCATACTCACACATAGATAACCATATATAGGCAACTATAAGGCCATATTATAAATGACATAAAAATACGCAACGCATACACACAAACATAATTCACATAGATAGACGCACACGCACACATAAACAAGCGGCAACTACGAGGACCGTAATAAAAACCATGAACGAACGATTATACATACAGTCACAAAATGAAAAAACAATCTTGCTTACAGTCACACAGCATACATTTAAACGCAAGCTCACACAGACACATGTTTAAGCAGTTATCTGAGCGCACAAGCACACATAAACAAACTATAATCGCGAGACCATAATGTGAATCACACAATTGGTGTTTACCCGACCTTTGACCCCAGAAATATTTTCTCATTACTTTACTATTGCAAACAATTTTATGCTTATGTTTCCTAGAGTTGGCGCTTACAAACTGGTTTACGTGATCATAACTACAAATTTTAGCAGCTTTTTTAGGACTAATTTCTGATAACCACAAACAAAAACTGAAAACTGATTAATAACACGTAATACAACGAAAACAAGGCATCGCTTAGAATCATGCTTAAATATCTGTCTGAGCGATAGAAGTGTCTAAACGGCTGCACAAATTACAAATATTACGTCATTGTTGACTTATTCCTGATTAGTCGTTGTTAGAGGAATATACAAGGGAATCGAAGCTCCGAGAAACATCCATGAAATTACATTTATATTTTTAGCTCAACCTGGGACCTGATTGCGATTCAAAGGGCGTTATCATTCACGAATTTATGCACGCATTAGGATTTTTTCACGAGCACTCAAGACCCGATCGTGATCAACACGTAATAGTCAATTTTGAGAAGATAGCAGACAGTAAGATTTTCATATGGAAATTTTTTTTCTTTTTTAATATTCATTAATAACACACGATGAAAGCAAATGATTTAGTCCTTTTCTCAGTTCATGCAATTAGACTGAAATGTAGGAAACTGGTTTGTTTGACACGAAGCGTACATATGAATCGTTTATTATTATTAATATGTTGCTGTTCTTTTCTTCTTCTTTTCGTTGTGAAAAATCGTTTTTCTCTTTAACTGCGCGATAAATTGCTTTAAAATTATTAGCGGTTTAGGATTGTATTTTTCGATAGAAAGCTATTACTTTTTTTTATTTCAAAAATTTCTGTACACTTCATGAGATTCGTTTTATGTGTGTGTGCGCCATGACGTCATCAAAAAATGCGCACCTTGTTCCGGACGGCTCCTGGTTCGCGTTAGTCACGAGGATTGCGGTACCGCTCGTGTAACGTGACAGCTTGCAGACCCGTACTGCTTCTTTCGAGCAACACAAACTGAATGTTATAGTTTGTTCCGACTCTTGAATCATCAGGCGGCCATGTGATTATTTGCAGAGAGCCCCCACAAAAAAAAAAAACAGGGTTAGGAATACAGATTGCGCTGGAAATTTAAATTTTCAAACCTTTCCTAACCCGAACTGGATAATTACACATTTTCATTTTAAAACAAGGCTAGGATGTTTTCTCAAACCTCCCATTGTGCATTAGTGCAATATTCACATTGTGTGTATTTTATATTGTAGATCAGGGGTCGGCAACCTACGGCCCGCGGGCCGCATCCGACCCGCGGATTAATATAATCCGGCCCGCTACGCTTTGCTGCATTATAGTAACAAAATAGCTGTTTTGGCGATTATATTATTCACGTAACAGAATTTATTGCAAGACACGTGTAGACTAAATTCTATTATAAAAAATGTGAATCAACGTGCAATTTGTGTGGCCAGTAAAATGAGATTTGTAATTATTATGTAAAAAGGGAAAATAGCAATTTTTTAACTGTTTGGGTAATCTTACCAATTGGAAGCGAATAAAGACATTTTTAAATGTAACCCCAATCTACTGGGTGATCAGAACAAGTGTAGACAAATGTTTATCAAAATTCCCACAAAATAAGAGAGAAAATATTATTATATTAACAAATCATCTGTTTTGACGATTATATTCTTTACGTAACAGAATTTATTGCAAGACACGTGTAGACTAAATTCTATTATAATCTAACAAGTATACAATTACTCGTTTAAATGAGCCTATAATTTAATTATAATTAGACAAATGGCAACAAAACGCAAAAAAAGTTGATGCTAAGTGCAAAGGGTTCAATGGTGCCGAAAATATTTAAATGGCATTTTTTGAGATTTATTGCAATGTATCACTGCTTGATTTTTATTATAAAAAATGTCATCCGTTCAGTTTTCAACTTTCTAAAAATATGTGCGGCTCGCCAATGACTTGCAACCCCTAATTTTGACTCGTGTGCGACAAAAGGTTGCCGACCCCTGGTGTAGATGCTTTTGACGGACGCCATTTTGCATTTCAGATGCAATAAGCAATTTTCAAAAAGAAGAAGATATCGATTCTCTTGGATCTCCATATGATATTGGTTCAGTGATGCACTACTTCTCTACGATATTTTTGAAGCAGGGAGAAACAGGATTTACTATAACTGATTTGAACGGCAACAGGCTCAATACACAGGTGAGAATGGCCGTACAGATTTTAATTTTGAAAAATAAAAATAAAATCATACAATTTGTGAGTAATTATGCATCTCCGAATATTCGGGAGGAGAAAATTATGTGTTAGAGATTTGCTGAACTCCTCAGCGTCGCGGGGGCATCCAGACGAGAGCTACTGATTGATTAGCCATGCGATGAAGTCGCTTTATGGGATTCCTTCTCCCCAAGATAATTATCAAAATCAAATACCACCTTTCACTACGAAACCTATAAGCCTTTTCCTTTCGGAAATTCCGATTCTCACCCCAATTTTTCGGAATTATGAAACTCTAACTTCCACCTATTTTTTATTACTTCATTTCTTTCATTTTGACTTTTTGAAATTTTGACTCAATGTGCATCTATTGTTATGACTTTTACAGTCAATACCGAAATCTTACTTCACAATATTCGCTAATACAGCACTTAATTAATCATTAAATATATTATCTATTTTCAGCAAGCGGGGTTCGCGGCATCTGATATTGCGCAAATTAATGCTCTGTACAATTGTGGAGGTAAAAAAAATTCTTTCATCTTGATCGTAGTATAAAGCCGTTCCAACTATAGTGTGAGACTTTCCTCCAGTCAGGAGATGTTGAGAATCGGAAACCCCCCTAAAAAAATATTTTCTGTGTCTAACGCTTCGTTTTTCACTGTATCATCCCTTTACAGATATGATCAACACTCCACTCTAACCGCACCTAAAGCTATAGCCGACACCAAGAAATTTTTAACTTTGTTTATCTTCAAAATTTACTTCCATGAAATTTACTGAAATTTACTTCCATTCAACTGTCTAAGTAGATAAGTAGATAGGTGCTGTTTAGGCTAATGATCTCTGGTTGTAAGTACATTGAGCTGAAATTATATCACTATTACTTAATTTAGCTACAACAGTTTCACCGACTACCCAAACTTCGACAACTACTACAGAACCCACTCCTACAACTACCCAACCGACTACCACGTCTCCTACAACTACCCAACCGACCACCACGACCCCGACAACTACCCAACCGACCACCACGTCTCCCACAACAACCCAGCCCACTACCACGTCTTCCACAACAACCCAACCGACAACCACGGCCCCTACAACGACTCAACCGACTACTTCCTCTGCTACCACTACCATGCCTACTTCAACTCCATCCACGGCACCATCTGCTTGCAGTGATAGGAGATTAGCCTCCACATGTCAAAATAAGAAAGATAGAGGGATTTGCTTTAAAAGAGCATGGCGAATGAAAAAAAAATGTGAATCAACGTGCAATTTGTGTGGTCAGTAAAATGAGATTTGTAAATATTATGTAAAAAAGCAAAATAGCAATTTTTTTTAACTGTTTGGGTAATCTTACTAATTGGAAGCCGCATCCGACCCGCGGATTAATATAATCCGTCCGCTACGCTTTACTGAATTATAGTAACAAAATAGCTGTTTTGACGATTATATTATTCACGTAACAGAATTTATTGCAAGACACGTGTAGACTAAATTCTATTATAAAAAATGTGAATCAACGTGCAATTTGTGTGGCCAGTAAAATGAGATTTGTAATTATTATGTAAAAAGGAAAAATAGCAATTTTTTAACTGTTTGGGTAATCTTACTAATTGGAAGCGAATAAAGACATTTTTAATTGTAACCCCAATCTACTGGGTGATCAGAACAAGTGTAGACAAATGTTTATCGAAATTCCCACAAAAAAGAGAGAAAATATTGTTTTGCAGAAAAAAACATTATTAAGATAAAAAATCGAATTCAATGTTATTTTTCGATATATCCTCTCTTTGCCTTCAATATACGCATCAATCTGTTTGGAACTTGACTGCACGAGGCACGTATGGTTTCTTCTGACATTTTGTCCCCACGAGTAAGTCATCAATCTATGCTTTAGATTAGTTGTTCTCAGCCTGGGGTACGCGCACAACTAGTGATACGCAAGCAACTTTTCTCTTACATTGCTATTGTAGATATTTTTTAAAAATTTGTCTACATTTGGTCTGATCACCCTATAGATACATTATAAGCAAAACAGTATTTGAACCGCAATATATATTTATCAATTATTTTTTCAAGGACTTTCTATCAACTTAGCTTTCAAGTACTGCTATTCTCAAAAACGTTGGATCTTGTGAACTAGTCGATATCATTTACCATTTACTTAAAATAAAAACGTATCTAGAGAAACGTGAAACAACGCGAACCTTGAAACTTGAATCGGCCGCCCCTATAAAGTGCTGAACTTAGCCCACTCCTGGGAGCAACGGTTGTATCTAATGGCAGATTTATTCTATTAATCCCGGCTACCGCTATAATTTATAAAGTAATCACAAGTTTTGAATGCATTCACGTTTTTCGTCAATCGTACCTTCTGATATTCCGTACGTTTTTTTATTATGTTATTCTCGGTATTTTCCTTCTTATCGTTTTCAACAAAACATTTTTGAACCAATTTTGAAATTTTCATTGGTTATAGATCGTATTCTTTGCTTGACGGCTATTCCTTGTATTTATTGCAAAAATTCCTGGGGGCTCTGTGGGATTTGTATTTTTTTTATTCCTCGACGTCATCAAAAATTGCGCACCTTGTTGCGGTTCCGCGTTTGTGCTATGACAGGTTGCATACCCGTACCAATTTGTTTTGGCTTTTGTGTCCAGTATTTGATCACCACTCTTTAGTTTATACGACGCCACGTCTTTTGCTCCGAACTGATATCTCACGATGTGTAAGGAGTTACTTTGATTTAGAAGAAGCAAATTTCTATCGTTCGACAATGACTGCCTTATTATTTGCTCTTTGCATGAGATGAGACTCTTTGGATTTGAAGTCGAAATGCGTGATGCTTACATAATTTCGTCCAAACTTTACCCGCTAGGATATTTCGCCGGCCATGGGTTCCTCGAGACTAGAATGTTTCATTGGGTCGCGCTCCACCTAAAAGGTTGGAGATCACCATACCAGAGTCGGGACAGAAGAATGAATTTTGAATGGCCCTAAGCACTATGAATTATGGGGTTCTGGTGTTTTATGTTATCTTTAATTGAATAAGTAAGTTTCAGTATTCATTACGAATTGAAGGCCAAGTTACGATTAATTTGCACGATTTCATGGGAAACATGCATTCTCGTGCTTACAAACATTGATAGATGATACTTGTGAATTTATCGTCTGAACAACTTGAATCGTTTCATTAAACACCGGGAAACCATTGAAAAATCGTCTATGATAATTTCCGGGGTCCCCAACATCCTTTGTTACTCAAAGCACGTTATTTTGCTTAATGATTAATTCAGCACTGCCTATGCGTAGATCAACAATACGTTTGCCTTTATGTTAGGGTTCGTGGAGGAATCATTTTTGCACATAATTTTCTAACACCAAAATATTTTTGACCGTATCTTACATTCTACAGGTTGCGAAAATAAAAAGTCAGAGAGAAAATGTAGAAGAGCTTGGAGGGATAATGATAGATGTTTTCTCGATTTCGATTGGGCTTTGGAAAACTGCAGGTTGACTTGCAGACTCTGCGAATATGACAGTAGTAAGTATAAAAATGAGATTTTTCAATTGTAAAAGAAGCTTGAGTCAGATTCATTTCACTTTTTCGAGAACGATTTGAAACCGAGATCCATAGTCTTTAAAGTAATATAATTACGCTCTCAACGCTTTAAATCTGACATGGACAAACTACGGCCCGCGGGCCAGATCCGGCCCGTGGAGTAATTTAATCTGGCCCGCCTGATGCTGCCCTCCAAACTAAAACCAAATTTTAATGTTTTAGCTGAAAAAAAATATCACGGAATTTGTTGAGATTGCGATTGAATTTAGTTGGTACGGGGTTTATTGTTTTCTACTTTTGCTTTTGTAAGACTGTAAATATTTTTCATAAAATGTAACTTTATAAGTCACACTTACATGGCCCGCCAATTTATGTGGGCAAAATTTTTGGCCCCTGCTTCAGCGGATGCAAAGCTTTTCACTTTATTTTGAAATATCTCTTCTTTCAACAGTATGGATTTCCACCTCATTCTCCTTATTATTGGAAGTCTCGCGGGGTTTGTGACCATGCGTTGATTAAACACTCACGGTGTAAAAATTCCGATTTGTGTCTCTTGTATTTGAAACCAACTGAATCTTTCTATTCGGCATATTGCCCAGTCAACCAGACTTTAAGAAAATTTCGCTTTGACCCCGATCTCGGAGTTGAAAAATAAATTAGCTTCGACAACCTACTCTAGACACCCCCGCCACCGCCCTAGTAAAGGAATTACGGTAGCAATTATCCAGTTGGGGTTAGGAATGCAGATTACGCTGAAAATTCGGATTTTCAAATTATTCCTAACCCGAACCCTAACCATAACTGAATAATTAATTACTAATTTATTAATTTAGCACGTGGCGAGGGGGTTTTGCTCAAATCTCACATATTTTTAGTGACGGGGGCTTTGTATAAAAGATTCAAAGATTTGATTTCAACTCAAGCTCAGAACTTTGAGAGAACCAATTTTTGATGAAAAATAAAACAATGGCACTTGAGGCCATATTTGATAGACCATTGAAAACCAAAGTGAATGCTTGTTAAATTTCTGTGAACAAAATCCAAACATACCAACACTACTCAGACTTGCTGACTAATTAATTGAATGCTAGTTTTGTGAGATGGTGGGCAAAAATTCTGGAACCGAGATTTCAAAACTAATTCCAAAATATAGTTAAGCAACCCAAATGCATCCATACTTTAAACAAGGAAAACAATATTAACAGTCTGTTTCATAGAGAATGGTTATAATTTAATTCGCACGCATTTTCTAATTTTATTCAAAATCGCATTATGCTATGTTTCAGACACCTGCAAAGATTTGGATCCTTTTTGTCCTTTGGATAACTGCGATAAAGACCCGGACTACTCGAAAGTGTACTGCAAGAAAACTTGCAAACTATGTGATGATTGAGATTGAAACTATTTTTATCCATAACATAATTTTTGACAGGTCTGCAATGCTGGCCATTATAGCCCATTTAATCTACTGAAAGTATCATTTAATTGGAATGGATAAATAATAGTGGATCCGCTTTTGGTGTTACTGTAACATTTGATCAACCGTCATACGTCACCTACCCGGGTGCAGTTAAGTTTAAGATTTGGACCCTTTTCGCCATTGGGATTACTGCTTTTATTACCCGCAATACTCGAAAGTGTACTGCGCGGCAACTTGCAACGAATGTGATGATGGGAACAATTTTTATTATTAATATAACTTTTGTTAGGTTTGTCATGCTAGCTATTATAACCCATCCTACTGAAAATATCATGTATTTTTTGTTTGAAATGGATATACATAAAACATTTTTAAGATTCATAGATCCTGTTGTGGTGTTACTACCTTGTTTCCCCGAAAATAAGACCTAGCCTGAATTTTTAAAATGATTTTTCTTTCTGATAAATGAAAATCTAGGATATCTACCAAAATAAGCCCTAGTGTTATTTTTCGAAAAAAAATATGACACATTCCTTTTCTCGGGGAAACACTGCATAGCGAGAGATCACCCGTGTCACCTACCCACTGGAATGTGAACGGGGTAATTTGGTATGCGATCTCACTTGCTTAACATGGAGGACATGCTCCCCGACCCGGACTGAAATCACGCATACCAAAGTAGAACCGTTGAAGGTTATCAGGCTTTGGACTGACCTAAAACAATTCGGGTTTTACACTTCTTGCCTGATGACGTAAAAACTAAATTTTATTTAATCCCTCATTTTTAAGTTTATAATACTATATCATCGTATTCGATAATAAAAATATGTGGAATTTATTTCCATTTGTAAGAAATAGAAATTTTTAATCAGCAATATTTGTGCATTTTTAGGATTTAATTGCTACGTGTCTACCAGCTAGTGTAAAGCTTTGTCCAAAGTCGAAATGAAAAAATGGATAAAGTAAATGAAATATGGAAATATGTTTAAATTGTTTATGTTTGTTATATACCTCTATCATTTATACGGAATAAAAAAGTTTGTGAAAAATCAATTTCTTCGAGTTATCTTGAGTTACATGACCAGGAGAACATTATTGGCATTATTCCTCATTATTGGCGCACTCGTAGTATGTGTACCAAGATGGCGCACAACATGATAACGCTAACCTGGTACACATACTACGTTCAGGTTGTGCGCCATCTTGGTGCACATACTACGGGGTGGTACACATACATTATTGCTTAAACTGCATTATTGCATTACATCTTAAATCATATTTTAATATTTTTTGTTCTATTTTGACTTGATAGTACTATTTAATATATTTAATATAACAGCTGATTATTTTTAGCAGCCTTTTCCCGATAAAATAACGTGAACAGAGTGGTGATATCATCTTACCGCCAAAGTAACGATTCTATCACCGGGACGAAATAGCGTAATATTATTTCCTTTTCCTGAACGGGTCATTTAGTAACAATGAATACATAACACGTTTCAATTTAAATAGGCACAACTTATTCACTTATACGTTTCACATATTTATTTTATCATAGTTCAACTAATTTAAAGCACTTTATATACCTTATATTGTCGTAATCAATTTTAACTAATATCTGGACAATAATATTTCTTATACCACGTCTTTCATCCCAAGCCAAGCGCTGTACAAGCATATGCTGATATCTAACAATACTTTAGGAGCTACAAAGATCGGTATATTTCTGTTTCGGCAATCCTCACTCGATTAACCCTGGGTAAGATGGTGGTATGAAATTTCGCTCTTTGAATTTTATTCTTATGATAACAACATGGCGTACATATATATACATTTTATGGTTCTCCCGAAGTATGTGTACCAAGGTGGCGCACAACCTGAACCCTAACTTGGTACACATACTATGTTCAGGTTGTGCGCCATTTTGGCGAACATACACCGGGAGTACCAATTTTATTTATCCACGCTTTATTTAAAAGTACTCTAAAAACATGTTATCCAGCACAACCGATTCTGCTTGATACATGCACGATCAATTTTAATGATTGAAATAAGATGGCCATGGTAGTCTAGCGCAGCGGTTCCCAAGCAAAAAACGGTTGGAGGGGCCACATATACTAGCCGCAAAATTGATTTTAACGCTATTTCGTTTGCATACTTTTCCTTCGCTAGAAAATTCCCCGTTTTCCCTAGTTGTATTATATGACAAGATCACCACAAAGAATGTTGTCCCTTTCTTTAATCATAAATCATGTGGCGACAATTACGTTTTTTTTTTGACATCACTAAAGTAAGCCTAGAATGCGCGCAATTCTTGCATTGCTCGTATTTTGGCCACGAGTGCCAAAAGTGTGGGAACGAGCCATATGAGGTTACGCACATGCGGTTGATACTTAACTGCATTGGCATAACAAGTCACACATCTCATGTCCAAATTCCTTTTTATGAGCCTTATTTAGAGTGATACAAAAGAAAAAGTAGAAAACAATAAGTCTCGTTCCAAAACTAAATGTAATCGCAATATCAACAAACTCCTTGAAATTTTTTCTTAGCTAAAACACCGAAATATGGTTTGAGTTTAGTTGGGGCAGCATCATGCGGGCCAGATTGACATACCCAAGAGGACGAATTTGGCCCGCGGGCCGTAGTTTTCCCATGTCAGCGGTTGACGGTCAAGTGAGTGAATTTGGAGCTAATATTTGGTGTGTTCAACTGCAAATATTGAATCTACCTTCAAGTATTGATAGCTTCGTTGGAATTTCAAAATAAGCGTTCAACCATTTATGGAGAGACTCAGCATACATATATACCCCGCTTTCACACTACGTCAAGTCATCATACATTGTGAAATTGTCACCATGAACTGGGGGATCATTCTCATATACTCATTTTTACTTCTCTATTCAATTCCTTAACTCTTTAATAATATACCGGAGCTTCTTGTAATTTGCCTAGCTAGAGGTTTCGTTAACAAGCTGGATATTCAAGTACATTTATTTGAAATGAACGAAAAATATTTTTTTTTGTAGAAAAAGGCAAAATAACAGATGATTATCTGAGTTGTAACTTAAATAGTTTTCAGTTTTGCCAATCTTTATTCCCGCCGACATCATTACCGCATATATATATAGCTCACATTGCGATCGTACTCAAAGATTTGTATGTGTATAAAATATCGTGTGCTTGTAAAAAGGAAAAAGGTTTTATGGTATTTATTGAGAGCAAAAATGTACATGCTCTTTAATATTTATTCGATAGCTCCAGTTTACAAAAAATGGTACCGTAATCATTACCACACTATCTTAATGATAAATAAATTGATTTCGTGACAGAACGTTTCATAACTTTTCCGTTTCCGGAACCTCGTTTAAAACCAGTCAGCTCGAGTAGCGCTATAGCAATTTTGTCCTGGCCGTCGGGAAGTCAAGAGTGAAGATTCCTGTGTCGAATAAAAGAAGTTAGTATAACTATGTTTTATGAGTATTTTTGCATATTTGCATTAATATCAAACGGTGTGTGAGGAGCTACTTTTTTGAAAGTACCGATTTCGTTTCGTTCCCTATTTCCTTCGCAATTTTAGAGAACTATTTTAGTAAAATTTTTGTTTGCTATAAATTAAATATTAAATTGCCTTTCTAACGAAATTTTAACGAAAATAGTCCAGGGGTAATAGTTATCATAATTCTGTAGATCAGGTTGTGAAAGTCAAGTCAGAAGGGAAAGGCTGACTTGTTTATGATGCTGATCTAACGTGTGGTCTACCACACTTTGGGTGATATCTACTACCGTGATTTAGTAATATAGCGTAATGTTCACCACACTATACGCGAGATATATCTCAAGCTGGTACTTTAGCGTGAGATCTTAAGCTACTAGAGTAGCGTGGGGTCTACCACGCTATGAGCGAGATATATCTCAAGCAAGTACTATAGTGTGCGGTCTACCCAAAGCTAATACTTAGGCTTGTCCCTGGGAATGCGCTTTTCATTGGAATCCCATGAGAAGCGTCTAATGGGTTGGGACGGGATAGCAAACATTTATATTTCCCATGGGACACGTGAGATACCAAATACCGTATGATTTTCGGGAAAATGATAAAACATTTCCTTATAGACTTCGTGTCCATATATTTGAGCATAGCTCTCTTGTTAATTATAAAGAGAAAAATATATTCAGCATTAACAATATACTTCGCGAAGGGGCTGATGGACACATTTATATTAGTTATGAATATAAAGTTAATAAATTCCGTAAATTTTGTTGTTTTGCATGTCTCTTCGTACATGTAGTCCTATTTAGAAGACGATAAACCTAATTTTAACATTTTTTTTGAATTTTATTCCAATGGGAATCATATGGGATGGGATGGGACAAGTATATTTGATATGGGATGGGAATGGGACAGAAAAATATGTCCCATGGACAAGCTTGCTGATACAAAAGCGTGAGGTCTTTCACACTATAGCGTGGGTTATATCTCAAGCTAGTATTATAGTGTCATGCATTTTGCTTCTCTAGTGAATAGGATGGACACTTAAATTGTAATCCTATAGCCAGGAGCGGCTTTCGACTTCTCGTTATAGTGCAATAATGAAAATACACTTCAAAAAATCGAAGTCAGACTTTCTATCTCCCTGTAATTGGAGTTTATATGCGGCGAGAGAAGCAAAGTTTAAAATTTTTTAACCGAAAAAATGATTTCCCTTGGTTTAAGACGCATTTTATTGCGAAGTGGTGTTTTATGTGATGAAACTTTCCACGCAAATTATCAATTTATCACAAATTCAAGTGCTGACAATAAACATTTGCTTTAATTGAAGTTCTTCATCTATTCAACTATGAGCAAACCCTAGTTCAAAATCTTCCAGGTTAATCCAATATATATATCCAAATACATTCAAGTACTGCCCTCGAGTAAAACGCTCCCAAGATGTTACTAATAAGAAAGAAATACCAAAATCTTCACGATTCAGCGCGTTGTATACCAAAGATATTACATCGTGGACGAGGTGTTGAAATAGGGGTGTAGCCTGGGGGGTTGCTCCCACCCCTCCCTCTTTTGTAAATAAAAAAGTTTTCTGCATAGCAATTTTCGTAGCTTGAAACGTATTTTTGACCGTCAAGACTTTCGAAAACCCATGTTTTTCGACCTCCTGTCGGACCCTTCAGCTGGCACGCTCAAACTTGGTAATCAGAAATTGCTAACCCCCTCCCCTTCCCCTTTTGCAAATTCTTGCAATGCCACGCAGGGTAATCAGAGGCGCCGTCGTTAGCATATTCCTGACGCTGAGCACAATGCGCCACACCGTCGAGCCGTGTTGGCGAGGGTGTGGTCATTGGCTCGGTTTAAGTTGGGCTTGAGAAACCATTTATCGAAGACTCAAAGTAACTCGAGTATTCTAAATATAATAACTCGAAACGCGATATTCAATCTAGAAAGAGAATGACAATTGATGTAAACTCTCAAAAAAGTTTGAAATTTGACTCGTCTTTCTTAGAGAATAGACTTCTGCAAAAATGTAGTTTTGTGTTCACAAACTTCTGCAATTTCAATTGTAAAATGTTTTCATAAGTTTCTCGTGATGATTTAGTAGTTGTCAAAATATGTCACTGAAATATATATAAAAAAATATAAAGGCTAATAATAAACAAAATTCTCTTTAGTTCTTTCACTAAGTTCTTCCAGAAGATATAGCTCACACGAAAAAGCAAGAAAATGCTGAAAATTGGTAAAATTAAATTTTCTTCACTTTAAAAAATTAAACTTTATACTTTACTTGATACTACTTGAAATTTTTCTCTTTTTTGGCGAACACATTGTGTTTTTTTTCATTCCAGGCAATTTCTACTATTATTCATCAGTACCAATATAGTAGAGATGCCTAGAAAATCAATCCGAGGCGAAGTAGTTGTCATGGAATAAGAACCGGAAATATTTAATTCCGAATCCATTGCTAGCTCATTAGAATATGAAACACTTGAACACAGAATAAAAATTGTTTTGTTTTTCAGGTATTTTTGTTGTTTTCATCTTAGTTTGCATTGAGTATATCAATGCAGCAAATGTAAATTGCGAAGATCCTCGTGCCCGAGACTTCAATGCAAAAGAATGCATAGAAAACACACGTTGTATCAAGTTTGTAGGTGAAAACATAGGCTGCCCAATATGCGAGTGTGATGACCATGCAGGTAAATATCTTTCTTCTGTTAAAACGCCTGTTCTGTTAGAACACAAAATAATTTTTCACTTTTTTAAAATAAACGGGGACAATGAACTCAGACTAAGAGAGTGTATATATTATTGTGGTGGTGGATATTTGGTTGCATATTTGCAACGTTTTGCTTCGTAATTCTATACTCATTAAATTTTTGAATTTATTATTTTCAGTATGGATTGACGACATGGTAGCCAGCTCCGACCAAGATCGGGCAGTTTGGCACAGGTTTTATCAAACCGATTATTATTACAACCACATCAAAAACCAGGTAAAATGTAGCTCTGTCCACATTGAAAATGATTTTTAAAGCGTATGACTTATCTGTATTTTCATTGCAGATTGCGTATCTCGCATTCAAATCGCATACCCCACTCCAGTCATATTGTAATAAATTGAGTAGACAATGTCTAGCGAGAAGAATTGGAACAATCCAGATAACCTATTGTATATCGTGACATATAAGTGACTGTATCGCATGGAAATACTGAGAAAGAAGCCAAATATCAAACTTTTGCAAGGAATGTGTGGCTGCAATTTCCACCACACTTTTGAATGCCTTCACGGTGCTATTTAACGAAGAATACCTACTTTTACATATTGCCTCCACGCTTTCGTTTCGAAATGCATGCGGATTACCTTCCGCGGGTCTTATTACATATGATCATTGCAGTAAGATTCGAATCTCATATCCCGAGAAGGGGAATAAAATTTTCCGCACATGTGCGTTTTATAACAGTCAGCACGATGTGTCAACGCAGATTAACTGACACTTATTCCTCGTTCTATCTAACAAATAAAATGAGAATATTTAAGCATAAAAAGTGATTTCCCTTTTGTTTCGAGGTGGTATTTTATCGAATTTTATGAAAAATTCTCCGAAAATTATCAATTTACCTTAAATTCAAGTGCTGAGATCAACAATTTGCCAACAAAGCTTTTTTCTATTCTATTTCGCAGATAATACTCTATCGAACAAGTCGTCTCGATACTTCATAAACTGGAGAAGCCTTAGGGATTTTAGTGAACATTATTTTTTAGCTACGGTATATTACATAAGCAAAAATGGGTACTCCTGAAGTATGCGCACCAAGACGTCGCATAACCTGATTCCTAACCTGGTACACAACCTCAGTTCAGGTTGTGCGCCATCTTGGTGCGCATACTTCAGGAGGTCCCAAGAATGTCTACGAAACATTCAGCGCTTAAAAATGAACCGGCAGTATCGGTAACCCGCCCACAAAACAACACTTCCGTTATAGATCCGCGCGTTGCTATCGGTGTAACCCAGTGATTCTTAATTTTTTTTGCTTGCGGCGCACTGATCAAATAAAAAAAAATTGAGGCACACTTGTGAAAAAATAAATTTAGCCTTAAACAAATTAATCTGAAGATGTTAATGCGATGTATGTGCCTTTTTTATGGAACATTTTCACAGAGTCATAAAGATGCAAATGGCTAGATTATTTTGATGGCTTTTGCACCGATGATTGAATAGAATTTGTGAGAAGATAGACTCGTCCAAACTTGCTCTTCTGTTAGCCTAATAGGGTGGAAGGTGGACGTCTTATTTACAAATACATTATGACATAACAATAAAGTTACAATGTGACAATTACTCTTACTACAACAATATGGCAAATGCAATAATATTACCAGTCTAATTATGTATACTATAAACTCTCATAAGCTTGCTCTTTGCATGTATGCCGCCTATGTGTAATACGAATAGCTTATTTTCTAAAATTCCAAAGCTCCACTGCACACCTGAATTTTTTTGCACACAGTTAGAGAAACGCTGGTGTAACTGGCTGCTTGAGTGCCGGTTTAAACTATCAGCGGAGAACCTGAGAACCCACCGGCTGGTATTCGTACAAGATACTTTCTCGAAATAATACTTTTCTCCACTATTTGCTGTGTTGGTCCACGTAAACATAATTTCAGAATCACTGTTTCAGTTAACTAAAGGGTTCTTATGATGCTGCAGAAATGTAAATATCACGTTATAAATAACTGATTTTATACTCGACAGGGAAATGCTCCAGACGGTGCTCAAAGTGGCGCTGGAATAGAGACGGATTTACAGCTGTGGACAGTTGACAAAGACACAGAAGGAAATCCACTCGTACCATATGAACTTGGTGCTGTGAGTAAGTGATGAGTAATTTTAAAAGTGTTGATTTAAAAAAGAATTAGGTATGAGGTAGTTCTGAAACGCGAGAAGAATGAGTTACTCCTATAAAGCATAGTAATAGTGCTAAAGTTAATATTTGGTCAATTGCGAATACCCGATGATTCGGACGACCTTGACCAGACAAAAAGAAAGAAGAAGAAGGTGATTTTAAATTATTTGATTTCATTTGAATGTTCAATTCAGAGTTCTTTAGAATTAATTCTCGACGTTTAAAGATATTACTTATTTCCGGCCTCTTAAATCCTTCAAAAAAACTTCTGTTGCAACTTGAATTCTACTCCACTATGCCTACACAATACTCAAGAGACAAGGGTCGGCAACATTTTGTCGCTCGCGGGCCAAAATAAAGGTTGCAAGTCATTAGCGAGCCGCACATCTTTTTAGAAAGATAAAAACCGAACGGATGGCCGATGAATCACATTTTTTTACACAGATCAAAAGTTTAATTTTTAGCAGCGCCCGAAGACGGACCATTTGAATATTTTCTGCGCCATTAAACCAATTGCACTTAGCATCTACTTTTCTGCGTTTTGTTGCCATTTGTCCAATTATAATTAAAATATAGGCTCATTCAACGAGTAATTGGAAATTATATACTTGTTAGATTATAGTATAATTTACACGTGTCTCAAAATAAATTTTGTTACGTAAAGGATATAATTGTCAAAACAGCTGTTTTGTTACTATAATTCAGAGAGGGGCCGTAGGGGGGAGAGGTGCCGTAAGTTGCCGACCCCGGCTCTAGGATGCCCGAATATTATGATAACTAATTTCGTTGGGCACTCACTAAACATTGAAATATTAGTGAACGGTCCAGGTACCTTTCCCATTTTAAATTTTGTAGTTAAAATAGTTTCAATTCGCAAATCTCTCACACTAGGTTGAAACAGTTTACGCCAGTGCTCGTCAACCGGATGTATAGCACACTCCGTGGTGTATTAACAACAAAGGAGTGTACCCCATCAATAGGGTCTACTGAATAGGTATAGAATACTACTATATTACACTACTTTTAAATGTATTCACAGAAGATTGATAACTTGTCAGGAATAAAACAGAACGTTTGAGGTTACACTGGTGCACAGCGTTATTTTTGGCGTTTCCCAAGTTTTTGTTATCTGCTTCTCATAAAACTAGGGCTGGGAATTTTAGGGAAACACCGATTAACCGCAGCTTGGCGCTTGGCGTAATAACTTATAATTTTAGCCTATTACGTCACAATGGTTACAAGCAATTTCGCGTGATCTTATCTCTCAAAATTAGTCCCGAATAGAGATAGTTTCGTGATCGCTTTGCTGCAAGAGATATGCAGCACGTTTCGGACATATGAAGTATTTTAGTAAATCCCGATTCCGTTATCAAATATCATTTACGTGACAAATATTCAGTACTCGATGTGCTATTTTTTTTAGAGATATCTTAAAGAAAAACAGCATCAACTACGCCCATTGAATAAACGACAATTTTTTTTTAACCGAAAACGAAAATTAAATTTATCATTGTCAAATTTTCATAATCAGCAATCTTAGTACTTTGAGTTGAATGGTCTATTGAATTAAACGACACAGTAGATTAATTTGCGATGTCATCGTCATTTTTAAAGAAGTTGTACATCATGAAGGTTAAAATAAATCTTAACCGTTAACCTATATAGCCAAGAACGTATATTCTGGCTAATTACTTATCGATCTTTAGATCGGTAAGTATGTTGATAGGTATTTGTCTGTCTGCGTGTTTGTTTGTCTGTTAGATGCACGCAATATCTTACGAAGGCCTGGTTGAATCTGCTCCAAATTTTGCATGTGCATTCATCAAATCTCGGACCAGAAGCCTATTGATTTTGGATGAATTATGTTATTGATAAATTAGTGATGGGACACAAGGTGTCACTATGGAGTAAGAGCGCTGTTTTGGGGGATCCCCTGACTTTCGATCGATAAGTCTTCGGTCCCTGACCGATATTCTCGTTTATTTGTATGTTAGATGATGTATCCTCTGTTGTCACGCGACGACTAATGGCAACTGTAGCGCCTGTACGATCCCTATTCTGTCAGACACACTTTAACGAGGCAATATCTTTATTGTCGACGATACGATCGCAATACAATAAAATGATCCAACCGGATAATTGAACAGTGAATCGTGATCATATATTTTAAATTATGCATGCACGGAAATGTTCTAATCAAGTGTGTAACAAAGATGAAGTATATTAAAAGTGATTCGTCATTGCGATATGGCTTTGGGCTATTTAACCCTAAGTATGTCTAGTAGCAGAACTTGTTTTGGCGGTTTATAATTTTGAGAAATTCTGAGTTATCTGGTTTCAATACAATTATTATTATTATTAATTAAAACAACTGTCAAAATTTGACCAAAATAACAGGATTATCAATATAAACCGGTTAACCATTGCCAGCCCTACATAATACTTTTTGTTGCGAACCGATTATTTCTCAACTGTACTCCTACAATACCGGAAATGGTTTGGGAAGGGTAACCTAAGAAATTGTAATTTGTTTTTGAATTTTGCTGGCATAATATGCGTGGCGGCCATTGTCCTTGTGAATATTATTTCTGGTGAACTTCTTGAATTACTATCATATTAGGTAAATAAGGGAGAGTTCAAAATATTCAAGTCTTATACTGCACTAAACGATGTTTCTATTTTCGTCCGAATGCACACAAAATGAAATTTCGAAATTTTTTACTCCCATAAAAATAATAAAAAGAAAAATCAAATAAAGATACGATACACTAATCCCAAATGTGCCATGAATTAAAGACAAAGATTTGGTGGAATTAAAGATCAACGTTTACATTCAATTAATATTGACAGTACTGTGCCTTTATAGACATGTAGCTCGTATATCCTCGAAATATTTCGTATTCTGTCCAATTAGAATGCGGGATTGGAGGGGCGTACCAGATTTTTAATTATGGATAAAAGGGTTACATTTCGAAATAAGGTCGACGAACACCGATTTAATTATTATAAATAACTATGAATGAAAAAGGGTTATTTGTAACAGTTAGTTCAACAACTAGGAGCACAATGTAACAATCGGAGTCACCCTGATGTTATTTTCATCGATATTTCTAATGGAAATTAGAAAAATATAGTCGTAATCTCAGCAGACACAAGGCGAATATAAAATACTTCGATGGACGGATCCGGCCCGCTGGCGGTAATTTGCCCACCTTTGACTCACGCCTACTGATATATTAAAAATATACTGAGTTGTAAAAATTTACGATAAACTATATTCGTTTCAGCTGAAGCCGTTAGGCAACTATTTGATGATGCGATTGCTGATTTCAACGATAATACGTGTATCAGATTAGTTCCGCGTACAGGCCAAGAAAATTACATAAGAATTACGGGCGAAAACACTGGTTGCTGGTCCAATGTTGGAAGAGCGTTCACCCAACCAAATGAGGTTAGAATAATTAGAGGTTGCACAATCCACTTTTATATTTTTAATATATGTTATGAAGTGTCTAAAATTATAGGAATCTTTCAATAAAAATTCCATCCTATGCGATAGCTCTAAAAATTTTCATGAAGTTCTTCATATTCTAAATTTCAAAATCTTCTGATGTAACAAGCTATTATGAGGTTCATCGTTCACCCAAATTCAAGTATTCTATTACCGTAATGGGTGATGGCTTAGTCTATCGCAGCTTTGGGACTAATTTTTAATAGCCACAAATAAATTGAATATCTTGACAACTAATTTTGTAAAAATAAAACTGAAAACTGACAAATAACACTCAATACCATGAAACCAAGCAATGCTTACAACCATGGTTGAATGTCTGTCTAAGCCAGTGGTTCCCAAACTAGGGTCCGCGGACCTTTTGGGGTCCGTGAAGTACTTTCCGAGGGTCCGCGAAAGAAATCTGTTGGATGGCTCAAAGTTTGATAATGCAAAAATTAACTGCTTAAATTTGGAAAGACACATTTATCGCATTATGATGTTTTACATTCTCTGCTGAGGACACTGATTCTTCACTTTTTGTTTCGATTAGGCTTTCCCGATTGTGGTGTCACAAAGTTATGGCAGCTCCTGCCACGAACAAACCGCGGCGTCTCATGCCATGGTTTAATGGCGCTATAATTTAGTAATCAGTATTATCGGCATATTAACAAAGTCATGCGCCGTATTTTTGTTCAATATACCAAAAAAAGTACCAACCTACTCATTGTTTGTCACCAACAGGGGCAGCCCTGCCAATACATCCGACATGCCTTGGTTACGGCATCAAAATTTTACCCGACATGATTTTTTAATTTGCTGCCGTGGTACCGATTTGGGGCTGCTAAAAAGTCAGTCGCCGTGGTTTAACCGGAGCTCCAGAAGTAATCTATGTGCACCAAGATGGCGCACAACCGGAACATGGTATTGTGTACCGGTTACGGTTCAGGTCGTGCGACATCTTGCTACATATGCTTGGAAATCCCGCTAAATACTTAAAACTGCACTTGGAGGTGTAGATGGCGCTGCCTTTTTGCATGCTTGTTGTTATAGGAGAGAATTACAGTAGGTAGTTGATAAAGTATGCCACTCCGTTTCTAAATGCTGATTTACGCTTTTGTTTTGAAAGGTGGATAGCGTTAAATATAGCGCAGTCAGAAAGGCACTACTTTTAGTTTTCAGATGTCAAATTTAGTCTTTGACACACGGTAACGGTAGGCATATATTTTTACGTTTTCAACTCTGTATTATCAATTTCAAAATGTCTTCTAAAATTAAAATTGAGATAATCGTATGTAATTTTATCGTGATAAACGCAGGTGAAGATATGTTTTGCACTACACCGTGTGGAGCATTTATTTTTGTTGTGATCTTGTTTTATGTGATATCTTTCTGTCTTTCTTTGATAATGTTTTATTTTAGTCAATTAGTGCACAGGACCGCGAAACAAAAACAAAATTGCAAGGGGTCCGTCAGACAATTTTTTTGAAAAAGTTTGGGAACCACTGGTCTAAGCGATAGAAGCGTTTGCACAAATTACAATTGTTTCATCACTGTTGACTTATTTGTGCTTGGTCGTTATTACGGAAATATACAAGGAAATTGTATTTATACATGAAATTACATTTACATTTTTAGCTCAATCTGGGACCTGATTGCGATTCAAAAGGCGTCATCATCCACGAAATCATGCACGCATTAGGATTTTGGCACGAGCAGTCAAGACCCGATCGTAATGATCACGTAAAAGTCAATATTGAGAAGGTACAACCCGGTAAGATTTTTATTGAGAAAGAACGGGCAACCGTTTTGTCCTTGTTTTCTCTTCTTATCAATCATTAAAACCCGATAGGAGCATTCCCTTCTCCATCCCTTTAATGTTAGTAAATGTAAGAAACTAGTTCATTGGACATGAAGTGTACATATGAATCGTTTTTAATAATTATTAATATGTTTTTGTGCTTTTTTTATATGGAAACTCACTCGCCTTTTTATTTAATTACTGGACCAACTGCTTTGAAATTTTCAGAGGTTGAAGATTGTATTTTTCTCCACAAGTTAATTACTTATATTTATTTTGAAAAATTTTGTGGCCTCTATGGAATTTCTTTTTTCATCTGCCATGACGTCATATAAAATTGCGCACCTTTTTTCAGACGGTTCCGGGTTTGCGTTAGTTTTTGCGATGATTGCGGTACCGGTGGTGTACTGTGACAGAATGCAAATCTGTACTACTTCGTGACCATATATTTGAGCATCATTCTCTTGTTTTCTTTGGACGATCAAATTTCATCTTTTTTTTTTATATACCGAACAACCCAACCTTTCTTTCAAGCAACCCAAATTTTTCAAAAAATAAATTAGTAAAATCTCGCGAACGGGGGATATGCTCAAATGCTAAACGCATGTCGCGCTTCTATTTCCGGTAAACTGAAATGAAATTTTACATAAATTTCATCGTGTGCTAATCCATTGTATTTAATAGTGTAGATGCTGTTAAAGGACGCCATTTTGTTTTTCAGGTGCAGTAAGCAATTTCGATATAGTACCAGAAATAGATTCTCTTGGATCTCCATATGATATTCAATCCGTGATGCACTACTTCTCTACAATATTTTTGAAAGAGGGAGAAACAGGATTTACTATAACTGATTTGAATGGCAACGAACTTAATACACAGGTGGGAATGGTCAACTACAGGGCTTTTATAGACTTTCCCCTCTTCCTGGATAAAGATGAAAATCAAATACCATGTAGTAAAAGTTTTATTGCAATAGCTATGAGTGTGCAAGATTTTTTCTTTTGAAAATTCCAATTCTAGCTCCATATTTCAAGAAATCTGAAATTTCAACCATCATTTTTTTATTACTTCATTTTATTTAAATTCGACTCTTTAAACTTGGGACTCAGTGGGCATTCCTTGTTACGACTTTAACAGTGAATACCAAAATCTCACTTTACAATATTTTCTAATAGAGCACTTAATTAATCGTTGAATATTGTTTCTCTTTTCAGCAAGCGGGGTTCGCGGCATCTGATATCACGCAAATTAATGCTCTGTACAAATGTGGAGGTAAAGAATATTTTTTTTCATCGTGATTGTAGCATTAAGCCGGCTCAGCTACAGTGTGAGATCTGTCTCAAGCTGAAGGCTGGAGGGTCCGAAACCCTCCCTTCAAAGAAAAGCATATTTCTGTGTCTAACGCTCCATTTTTCATTGTATAATCCCCTAACAGACATAATAAACACTCAACCCTAACCGGAACCCAGACTGAATCTAGTTAGGCGACATTTGACGGCAGCAGTATGCTCCACAGCATTCCATTTCGGTTTCCAAATTTGGTTGGTGGTAATAAATATGCTGTACGTAATAAAAGTATTTGTAGCCCATCAAAATGCGTTGTGTATTTGAGAGACCGCACTCTGCACTTGTATATGCGCCACTGGTATATTCTGGCTAATCAAATACAATTATATTTGAGTTAAAAATTGAAGTATGGTGGAACACCATACACATTAGGCGAGTGTTTGAATTTAATTTATTTCAATTTTTTTTTTGGAGGGGGGAGGGGGATGGGGACTAACTCTATAGCAGCACCAAGAAATATTTCATTTGGTTACCCTTCAGTTGATTTACTTTCTGTCTTTCCGGCAGTTTGGACTTGTATTATTTCAATATGGTGACAATCACTTTTCACAAACAAGTCTGTCGCGGGCATAAATTTAGAGTCGATGGACCTCGTAACTTGCCTGTGATGCATACATGGAGATTATATTTGAATGGGGTGGTTGCTGCCAATCTCAAATTCATTGACTTGTCTCAGAACCCAAATTTATTTGTCTTGGTTCGTTAACTAGTCTTTTTAAAACAAAGTCACCGTCTAGAGATTAATGATCTATATTTGTAAGTACACTAAGCTGCAAATAATATCCATATAACTTTATTCAGCTACAACAGTTGCACCGACTACCCAATCTTCGACAACTACTACGGAACCAACTCCTACTACAACCCAACCGACCACCACAACTCCTACTACAACCCAACCGACCACCACGACTCCTACAACAACCCAACCTACTACCACGTCTGCTACAACGACCCAACCGACCACCACAACTCCCACTACAACCCAACCGACCACCACAACTCTTACTACAACCCAACCGACCACCACTACTCCTACAACAACTCAACCAACTACTTTCTCTGCTACCACTACCATGCCTACTTCAACAACATCGACGGCACCACCTACTTGCAGAAATAGGAGATCAGACACCACATGTCAAAATAAGAAGAATAATGGACTTTGCTTTTACAGAGCATGGAGAATGAAAGAAAAATGTGAAAAAACGTGCGATTTGTGTGGTCAGTAAAATGAGAATTGTTTACACTATGTTAAAAAAAGCAATTTTGTTTTTACAAGTGTTTGGGTTTCTCTACTAATCGGGCGTTCTTCTAACTAATTTTTAATTTTATCCCCAATATTGTTACATTGTCAGCAAAACAGTTTTTGATCGCATTATTCAATAATCTATTGTTTTCCTAACGACCCCTTACAAACTTAGCTTTTAAGTACAGGTTCTCTCAAAAGCGTTGGATATCGTGGTAGAGTCGATATTCCTTATCTTTACTTCCAAGTTTGCAAAGTGAAAACACTCCAGGGGTCACACAATACTACGCACGTAATGTCAGCTTTTACTTAAGTAATGACGCATCTAGAGGAACATGCGTAATAATGCGAACTCTTCGGCTTGGATATGCCTTCCCCGACAACTTGCTGACCCAGGCGGCCGCTCTGAAGCCCTGCACTGAGAGCCACAGATATATCTTCTGGCAGATCTATTAATCCCGTTTACCTGACCTTAAATACAGTTCAAAATATATAATCTCTCGTAAAAAAAGTAATCACAAGTTTTGAACGCTTTTAAATTTTGCACCAATCGATAACAACTGAAATTCCATACCACCAGTGAATACAAGCGTACTATTTTTGGACACGAAATTTACATATGGGTCGTTTTGGTATTATCCCGTTGTTGTTATGCTTGGTATTAAAAAATCACTTTTCACGTTAATTACTGGACCAATTGCTTCAAAATTTTCAGTGGCCAAAGATTGCACTTTTCGCCATACGCTTGTGGCGGTTCCGCGTGTGTGTGTGACAGATTGTATACCCTTACTACTCTGTTTTGGTCTTCGTGTTCATTGATTTGAGCATCGCTCTCTTGTATATACGACGCCACGCTTCCGAATTGATATCTCACGATGTGTTAGGAGTTACTTTTATTTGGAAGGATCGAATTGTTTCGTTTGACATTGACTACCCTATTGTTTCAACTTTGAATGAGGGGGAGGCATGGAATTTGAAGCCGAAATGTGCGATGATATCAAAGGACGTCTAACGCTGTTCCCGCTGGGATATATTACCGTCCATGGGTTTCTCTCCACCAATTAGAATGGAAACCACTATACCAGTGTCAGGGCCGGAACATGTATTTTAAAGTCCCAAAGCACTTGAGATTAGAGCGTTCTGTATATAAATAATATTAATAGTGAAACTGATGGTCTATGTTATCTGAAATTGAATAAGTGAGTTTCAGTATTCATTACGAATTGAGGGTCAAGTTACGATTAATTAGCATGATGTTTGTTGGAAACAATTTTCATGCGCACAAACATTGATAGATGATACTTTATAGTCAAAACAACCTGAATTGTTTCATTAAACACTGGTGCACCATCGAATAATCGTCTATGAAAATTTCCGGGGTCCCAACATCCCTTGGTGTTCAAAGCAAGTTATTTTACTTAATGATTAATTCAGCACTGCCTATGCGTAGATCAATAATACGTTTGCCTTTATGTTAGGGTTCGTGGAGGAATCATTTTTGTACATAATTTTCTAACACCAAAATATTTTTGACCGTTTCTTACATTCTACAGGTTGCAAAAATAAAAAGTCAAAGAGAAAATGTAGAAGAGCTAGGATGGAGAATGGTAGATGCTTTTCCGATTTCGATTGGGCTTTGGAAAACTGTAGATTGACTTGCAGACTCTGTGGATATGACGAGAGGAGTGAGTATAAAAACAAGATTTTTTAATTGTAAAAGAAGCTTGAGTCAGATTCATTTCACTTTTTCGAGAACGATTTGAAACCGAGATCCATAGTCTTTAAAGTAATATAATTACGCACAACGCTTCAAATCCGGCACGATGAGTAATTCAATTTGCCCGCCTGATGCTGTCTTTCAAACTAAAACTAAATTTTGATGTTTTAGCTGAATAATATTTCACGAAATTTGTTGAGATTTTGATTGAATTTAGTTTTGAAACGAGGTTTATTGTTTTCCACTTTTGCTTTTGTAACACTGTAAATATTGTTCATAAAATGTAACTTTTTACGTCACACTTACATGGCCCTCCAGTCTAGGTGGGCAACATTTTTGACCCCTGTTCCATCCCTTCTCTAATTGATACTCGATCCAGCATTTATTTAATCTGGAATGATCGAAAGTAGCTGACGAATTACTTCCTGCTTCAGCGGATGCAAAGTGTTTCACTTTATTTTAAAATTTCACTACTTTCAGAAGTATGAATTTCCACCTTATCTTCCATAGTATGGGAAGTCTCGCGGGGTTTGTGACCATGCGTTGATTAAACATGCACGGCGTAAAAACGTTCAAAGTTTCCGTGTATGTCTCTAGTATTTGGAATAAACTGAATCTTCCTATTCGGAATATTTCTCATTGACCTTAAATCTCGGAGTTGAAAAAAAAAAATAGCTTCGACTACCGACTCTAGATTATAAAAAATTGGATCTTTTTTAGAAAGCCCTCGCCAAAAGACACCCCCGCCACCGCTTAAAGTAAAGGAATTACGGTAGTAATTATCCAGTTGTGGTTAGGAATGCAGATTGCGCTGGAAATTTGGATTTTTAAATAACTTTTAACTCAAACCTTAACCTTAACTGAATAATTAATTACTAATTTGTTATTTTAGAACGTGGCGGGGTGTTTTGCTCAAATCTCACTTATTTTTAATTAGCTGCGAGGGCTTTGTACAAAAGATCCAAAGATTTGACTTCAACTTAAGCTCAGAACCAAATTTTGATGAAAAATAAAACAATGGCACTTGTAAGCCTTATTTGATAGCCCGTTGAGAACCAAAGTGAATGCTTTTTAAATTTATCTGAACAAAATACAAACATACCAACACTACTCAGACTCGCTGACTAATTAATTGAATGCTAGTTTTGTGAGATGGTGGGCAAAAATTTCTGGAACCGCGATTTTAAAATTAATTCCAAAATATAGTTAGGCAACCCAAATGCTGCCGTACCGTAAATATGGAAATCAATAGTAAGAATCTGTTTCGTGGAGAATGAATATAATTTATTTCGCACTCATGTTCTAATTTTATTCAAATTGCGTTATGCTATGTTTCAGATACCTGCAAGGATTTACACCCTTTTTGTGATGACACTTACTGCGATGAAAAATCCTTGGCCTGGTCGAAAGTGTACTGCAAGAAAACTTGCAATCTATGTAATATTAGTGATTGAAACAATTTTTATCCATAACATAACTTTTGACAGGTCTGCCATGCTGGCCATTATAGCTCATTTAATCTACTGAAAGTATCATTTAATTGGAATGGATATATAATGGTGCATCCTCTTTTGGTGTTACTATAACATTAGATCAACCGCCATACGTCACCTTCCCGGGTGCAGTTACGTTTAATCTGTTCGAGTCATTTCTAGAATATGTACAATTTAAGGCGCTCCAGAAGTATGTGCACCAAGATGACGCACAATCTGATAATCTAACCTGATACACATACTATGTTTAGGTTGTGCGTCCATCTTGGCACACATGGCACACATGGCACACATACATATCGTCGCTAATTTAAATTCATAAAAATAAGTAAATTATATTCGGGGTAAAATTATCACGCTATTGTACCAGCTTGATGTAGTTATTACGATATAGCGAGGTACACATCCTAATAGTACTGTATTGAAAAAAATATTGCGCACTATAGTGAGATAGGCCTTATATAAATGAATGAGCTGCTCTTTTTGACGATATTTTAAATTTTAAAGTTGGAAAAATTAGATGACTTTTATATAAACCAGCTTCCAGTGTTGTTTTCTATGATCAGTTCAAACTGACAATTGACAGAATTTTTAAAATGTGAACGAGGTTGTGAAATCCTGGTGGATGATGTCAAATTATATGGTAATAATTTAACCGCTCATCAAAAATACTAACCGCCCTGAGCAAGACCTGACGAACAGGCACTGGTGTGTGAAAGGGGTGCCACTTCGGTATGCGATCTCACTTGCTTAACGTGAAGGACATTCTACCTGACCATATTAAAAACTGGAATCACACAATCGTCAAGATCGCATATCAAAGTAGCACTGAAAAAGGTTACCATGCTTTGGACTGGCCAAAAACATTCCGGGTTTTGCAATTCTTGTCTGATGACGTAAAATCTTGTCTTTGTTGGAAAAGCAAAATTTAATGCGGCTCTTTGATACAACCTAGTGTCGTGGCGATGTCTCGCTAAAACATTACTAATTAATTATAATATATTATTCTTCAAAATCCTAATTAGATAACGGAACCTTGGCTGCCGCTGCTAGATAAACAACTTTGGTTCTCCGCGGTTTCTTTCCCCAGTGAAATTATGTTCTTTTCCTTTTCGCATATTTTTTTGCATTGTATCTGTTTATTATTTTACTGGTTGGAAAAAATATACCTGACTATGACTATATCCAATTCTTCATTTCTAAGCTGATAATACTATATTATTATATTCGATTATAAAAATATGTGGAATGTATTTCCATTTTCAAGAAACATGTTTTCTTGATTTACAATATTCTTGCTTTTTTAAGGCTGAATTGATACGTGTGTCACAACTAGTGTAAAGCTTTTTATTTTATAACTGAGTTTAAAAAAAAAACAGGTAAAGAAAATGAAAATTTGAAATATGTTTCACTTGTATATGTTTGTTCTATAACTCTTTCATTTATACGGAATAAAAAAGTATGTGAAAATTCCAATTTCTCTGATTTATCTTGAGCTAATTATTGGGATTTTTGCTAGGACATCATTGCATGTGAATAAAAAAAACTGACAACATTAACGGACATGAAGCGTTGAAATAAAATCTCTTCATGCTATGGCAAAAGGCAGTGGTCTCCAGCCTTTTTCCAAGCGATACAGATTGAATAAAAAATATGTACTGTATAATCCTGGGGCCGAAGGATATGCTCAAATACCAAACGACATGTAGTGCACTTAAGACCAAAAAATTAAAATACTAATATGAAACAATCATTTTCACATAACATTTGTTATACCGAAAATGACTTCAAATTGAAAAAGCTGCGCTTTTTTGCCATTCGCGAGTTTCTGAAATTGTGGCGTGGATTTATTTAAGCAGAATGGATGCTCCCAAAATTTTAGTCTGTGATATTCAGGCGGCTAAGCTTTGGGTCGCAACGAATAGGTTGGGAAACACAAAAGGTCAGAGGGCGATTCACTCGTGAAGGATTACTAGGCTTATGTTTTAAATCATAGTCACTCAAACACACCCCCAAGAAAGGGCTATGGGGTCGGAGTTCAGCATGTTCTCACGGAAGTCGGAGTTGTACTTTCAGAGTCACCGAAGTCAGGAGTCAAAATTGCAGTTTCATTAGTCAAAATAAGTCAAGACATTCTACCAAATTCAAACTCAACATTTGATTTTCTCAGGATCCAGAGTTGGAGTCGGAATTTTTCACAATCCGGAGTTAGTAATCGGAGCAAAAACTTTCCTCAGCCGAGAGTCGGTAGAAGACAAGTATTTTTTCAACCCGGAGTTAGTAATAGAAGTCCTAACTTTACTCAACTAACAGTCGGTATGAGACAGGGGCGTAGCCATTAACTTCAGAGAGGGTGTTCCAAATTTCAAATTGCCGAGTTGGATCGTAATAGTTAGCGGGTCCGATCGAGGCACGAAAAACGTGGGTTTCCATAAGTTTTGAGGGTCTAAAAAGTGTTTCAAGTTACGAAAGATCGCTATATATGATATAAATAAAATATTTTATATACATTTTATAAGGGGGTTTCATCAGCTTCCCGTTTTGGCTGCAAAACTGGGGTTATCATTTCGAATTTTTTCGACTCCAAACCCCTTTTCGTGGATTTTTTTAGGTGAAACTAAATTTGGATCATTACGCATAATTAATTTACGCTTAAACTTCATTTGATTTTTTCTCTATATATCCTAACCCAAAATATTTCATCAAATTATGTATACAAATGCACAAAAACGATATTTTTATGAAGCCCCAAATCTGTGGGCTTTAATACCAAAAAAGAAGTTGAAAAAAAGGTTAAAAATTTATTTTAGAATTTTGAACTTTGAACTTTTGTAAAAAAAACTTAAATTCATTTGGTGGTGGATAATTACTTGAAAATTTTCAAATAAAATTGTTTCGAAACGTCAACATCTTACTTGTGGTAAGTGTTGAGTTTCCGAAAAAGTTTCATTTGAGAATATCGCAAATAAGTAGATGCTTGTCAGCTCAACGCCACAAGTGAGATAAATAAAAAAAAACAAGAAATGCAACTGTCAGAGATGCTTCTCAAATATCTTATAATCCCGCCAAGTAACGTGGTCCGAACATTTTGAAAAAGGTAAATGCCGTTAATCAGCGGTCGACAACCTACGATCTTACTTCAATCCGTCCCGCTACTCTTCACTGAATTATAGTAACAAAATGGCTGTTTGACGATTATATATATTCTTTACGTAACAGAATTTGGTGAGGCTTTGGTGAACTAATAATAAAAATAAAACTCTACAAAAAGCACTGCAAATACCTTAAATTAATTTTCAATCACAGTGCCTCATTACTGTTATCATTGATTTTATAAGATTATTACACAACCCGCTATTAACAGAAGTAGTGCGCAGGTAGCAAATATGTTTTGATGAAATCTATTCTTCTGGACATATTACCTTAGAAAATCTTCGGGGGACTGATGGGTTAGAATCGAAGATTTTATACTTTACGGCGCATACTACTAGGCAATCTCGACCACAAACTTTTCGTGGCTGGAGGTTTATCTTGTTTATTTACCAACTTTTTATGCCAAACAAGCTCAGGATAAATCAGTCCTTGACAAATTTGACTGTTTTTTGCTTGTTTTTTCAATATATATTGGGTGACTTCAATCCCGTCTGGATTAAACATTTTATAAGTATTATCTCTTATGTTTCTGTTATTTTGTAGATTATCTTCAACACAGAAATTAGCAATTTCTTTCTTCAATCTATTTAATTCCGTTAGGTCATTTTCGAGTCTATGTTTTCCATAATTTTCAACTTGACGCCAAAAGGTTTTATTATAATGGTTGTACAAAGCCCAATCGGCCTTGTTCCATTTATATATTAAATCTTTGACGTCAGCTGTCACGTGCTCCACGGTTGATTGATTTCGCGCGTTCATTGATAAATATATAATGTCCTTCATATCCCAACATAGTAAATCTCTAAGCAAAAGTAATGAGATGTCGAAAAACTCTGATATTAGAACAATGTCGAACGTTTTTTCAATTTCATCGATTGCTTCGTTGATATATGTGTCATTTTCTGATAAATTGTCGAATCCGAGGTCGAAAAACATTCCGTTTTTCCCAAACCACCAGAATCTACCGTCTCCACGTCCCTTGAAATACCTGCAAAAAGAAGAGATGTTATTGTGTAACTGTAGAAGTATAAGCTCAAATAGAGGCGAGAGAATTTTAACTGATTACAAAGATATTGACGCTTGCCACATTGTGCCAAATATCATTCGAAAACGAATTATCGATCGAGTTTGAGTCCAGTAGGATATAATTACGAACTAGTCTATGCGGGTTTGGAGGAGGACTTACCGATATCTTATATGCAACGTCGAATCAGTTAACCACGATATGATCACGCAATGCAGACTGTACTATTACGTCGGTATATTGGTACATTCTCAACAGCTTGATTTTATTTACCAGCGCCATTTAGGTTATAATATCTCGACAAGGAAGGCAATTTTTCGTGGTGAAAATGTTGTAAAATTTTCGGGGTAAAAAGTATAAGTCAATAGTTAAACGAGTCGTTTTCACGTATAAGCATCGAAATGTTAGTCTGTTAATACAAACGAGTCGATATAAACATATTAATAAAAAATACTGTTTTGTTCTTGGAATTTTACTGCATCAGGGCAGGTCAAGGGTTTTGAAATCCATGACATCACAAATTGATCCGATATTCGTCAGACTTGCGGTAATTCCAACCATAAATAAGTAAATTTTCGATGGCTCAAACCTACCATTGATTTTGAAAGATATTAAAAAATTCTTCTGTAGTTAAACGGCTTGTCCAGGTCCGAAGAAGGTGAATGGCTGTGAGTTGAATTGTGGGGTCTCGTGTCGTTTCGTACCACAATATCTTCAAGTGGGCGTGACGCAACAATTTTTTCTAATGTCATTCCTAATCCCCACATGACTACGTCATTTAAAAATTACGTCATTACGAAGTCACAGTGACGTTATAAACCCCGCCAAAATACACGGATGGTCTAAATTTCTAAAACTTACTGGGTTGGATTTCTGACATAATCAGTCAAACCATTTTCGCCACTAGCTCTACTGAAAGCCGGAACGTCTTTTCTCAAGTAGTGGAACACAGACTCGAATTGTGTTGCAGGATCCCGGAGAATGGTTAAATAAACGGTGTCAGACGGAAGAACGGAAGCAATCTGAAAAAAAATTAAAATACGGTTATATAAGCCGTCTCTCTTTTGCGGATTTTTAATGGCCCCTTGGTTCTAAGTATGGTGTAAATAAATGAATAGAGTGTCCATAAAGTTTTAAAATAATTTAAACTTGCAAAGAGAATTTATCGATATCATATCTTGTTACGGCTCTCACAGAATGTAATAAATGAGGTAAAATACTTAAAGAACTACTGATTAAAAAACAACAAACCAGGTTGAGATATATTGAGAACTAATTTCATAACAAAATTAAAACTGTAAGGGGACTTTATGAAGAATATTGTTGGACTATTCAGCCTATTGGTGCATTGGTCCAAGGTAAGGAGGACTAGTATAAATATATACTGTTGAACCATTGCGCCACGAACTAGTACTGGATTTAATGGACAGTGAAAATAGGCGCAGTGGTAAACGGGGATTGGACCTTTGACAAAAAGACATAAATCATGCTTTAGTAATATGCCACTATTCTAAACAAAAAATATCTGTTATATAAAATCTTTATTCGAACTTCCTGAAGTATGCGCACCAAGATGGCGCCGCACAACCTGAACTCAGGTTGTGTACCAGGTTAGGGTTCAGGTTATGCGACATCTTGGTGCGCATACTTCAGGAGTACCCTTTATTCAGACACTGAGCACGAATGTTGGCGCATGGTATAAAAAACATGATCGCCATGTCAACGGTGTTAACCCCCTGTGAGTTCAAAGCATAAAATCTTGCTGGGATGATTATGTATGGGAGAAATGGAGTGCACGTCACGTACGCTCTCTTTGGACTCCCGCCTATCAAAGTGTATGTATCTATAACTGGATAGATGTTGCCATGCCCCAAGAAATAGGGAGGAAATTTTACTTTTCATTTAAAGTAGTTCCACTCACATTTTCTGCCTGTTTCAGCTGTTTGGTATTATTGTAAGACATTGTTTATGCACAGCGGTTTTATGCATGGTGAGAAAGGCGGAGATCTATATTTGGCAAGGATAAAAATATAATAAAAAGACTGAGAACAACTGCTTTAACTAAACAGGTAACCGGCCTTTATGCATTTAGTTAATCGCCACATTATGCTTTCGCGGAATAAATATTCATGTTTATGCACACATTAGCCGAAACAGAGATTTTGTGCATAGTAAGAGGGAATAAAAAGATACAAATCGGGCAAAATAGGGAAAGTTGGAAACCCCTGCCTTTACTGGGCTAGTAACCTAGCTTCATAGTAAGTACTTCGGTGTCAATTTGGTATCTGATCGTTAACTTGATATAATTTCACATCAAATCGGCACTAATCTACTATACTGTCATGGGAGAAATATCAAAAGTTCTGATTGATTTTTTTCCATTCAACCTTACTTCTTTCTTATTGAAAACCATATGATGCAAGAGCATGTTGACATTTCTTGATTTTGGCACCGGCATCATCATTGACTTCTTGAACGGCGTTCCAGAATAATATCCGAACAAAATATCCCCCCCAGTAGGTAACCCGACAAAACGATCGTTGTCGTAGGCGAATCGAACTAAAATATTCTGCAATGTAGAACTCCCAGTTTTGTGAGTTTTAAGAAACATCAAATTCCGCTTAGGTCCGTTTCTACAGTGTATGCTGGTGGTTGAATTCATGGCCCTAAAATAAATCAATATATCAGTCAGTAATGTAATAATAGTTTAACAATGCAATGAATAACAAACAGGTTTTGACGATCAAACTTTGTAGCAGATTTAAACTTGAAGTTAGTGAATTCGTTTCTCGGTCGCCACACAATTTAAACTAATATACCTAGTTTAGTTTTCCCTGCTCTTCCTCAGAAGCGCTTGAATAAACGTTTTCAATCGAAGAAGAATTCCTTCTCAGGGAGAAATTCGTCTTTTTGGGGGGATAAAATTTGCTTTGTATTTGATGTAAATTACTAATATTTTTTAGTTTTTTTTTTCATTATTACCATAATACTTGTTCATGGCCACGAAATGGGAGTGCGACTTGCGCTTAACGCTAACTAACGATCCATTAAAAATTGAATGTATAACATAGAATATAGAGAGAGAAACAAATAATTCAAAAATAGATTTGTTAATTTAAATTGTTCTGGAACACGAAAGCCACGTCTCATTGATTGCGGCCATTCATATGGCCATTGGATCGATTATCGGGCAAAATGAATCTTATAAGTCGAAATGAGAATTTCTCAAAATATTTAGTAGGGGTGGGTCCCGCGCAATTCGATTTGCATAGGGCCTCGTCATGTTAGGGCTGGCTATGACAATATTGGAAAACGTGAATACATTGATAAGAAATGGTCATTAAAATGAACTACTGACCTTCCATAGTTTTCCCAATCCAAGCCCAACTCTATTCGTATTGACCGCAGGTTTCTGTTGTACAGGTCCAGATACAAAAAATAAGGAATAACGGCAATGCAAGTCAACAATATTAAAATTAGCAATGGTTTTCTCATGCTTTGTAGCATGTTTACTGATGAATATTTATCTTAAACTCTGAAAATGTATTGAAATTGGCATTTTTAGTTGGAAACGGTAACTAAAAGAAATTAATTGGAAACTTCGTACTTTATAGATTTATACCATTAGTATATACTATCGCATATCAGAGACTGATTACTCACTCATTTCACAGAAATTTTTGAATGCGAAATAAATTGAATATAAATGTAAAAGTTTTCATCTGTGTAGCAGTTTTACATATATACTTAGGTTTTCTTAAATTCAAAACTGATATAAGATAAGAGATGATAATAGGTCCTTCAAACAAAAATCCTTAAATGAGAAATAAAATTAAAGCAACTTTACGAATAGCCTGTATTTTTAGGTTACCTATACTTTTGAACCCCCTCAAAGTCCTTCAAACAAACATTATTTAATAAAAAATAATATGAAAAAGATGATGAAGGTATCATATAATGCCGTCTATATAGAAATGTTATATATTTTTCCAAGCTACCTAGAATTTTAAAGTCATGTAACTGTATCGCATAGACATAGGGATGCCAATTTTGTGTTAAACTATTCTGGGACACCATAATGTCTAGAATTTGAAAATTGATACAACAGAAGCACTTGACGCAGTGCGCGTCAAAGAGTGATGATTCTACGGCGTTAATTTAAAAAACTCCTGTACATAATTTTAGGATATAATCAAAAAACTAATGAAATGTTGACTGTTTGGGCATAAATGCAAAAACTCTAAAACAGGGAACATGTACAACTTATATTTACAATAGTTACCAAAAACACAAAAAACGGTCTTTTTGATATTGAAATTTGTATTTTTTTTTTTGTGATTTTGCGCTTTAAGAATTTCTTTGTTATTAGACACAATCCCTAATTTGTTCAAAAAAGTGTTATGTCATCCGGAGATCACGGTTGACGAAACATGTCTTATTCACAAGTTTCACCTCCCTTTTTTTTGAATAAACTATACTATATACGTAATCGTTTTTATTTAAAAAAAAATATTTGCGTGAATTACATCCGTTTCTAGTTTTAAACGAAGCTGATACGCTTACATGTCCTTCTGTTTTAGGACGCCTTGATTATCAGTAAATTCCGGGACAACCGTAAACCAGCCCGGGACACGGGACGCAAGGCGTCAATTCCGGAAATATCCCGGCCATTCCCCGGGACGGTTGGCAGCCCTACATCTACACAATCCCTAATTCGTTTAAACAAAAATTATTTAATGAGAAATAATATGAATATAAGAACACTATTATTATATTTTGCCGTATATATACCGTTATCAATAGATTTCTTTAAGCTATTTAGAATTTTTAACTGTTGTAACACGCAAATATACAACCCCTAAGGTTCTTCGAGCAAAAATTATTTCTTGAGAAATAATATAAAAAAGTAGACGAAGATAACATATATTGCCGTCTATATAGCCGTTCTCAATATTCATTTACGCTACATGGAATTTTAAACTGTTATAAGACATTAACACGACCACTAGGTACTTAAAACAAAAATTATTTAACTTAAAAATGATAAGAATATATAAACAAAAATGACATTTTTCCGCCAATATGGCTGTTTGTGTATATATGCAGATTGCTCGTAAAGTCCCGAATAAAATTAGGTAAAAGAACTTTGATGTACTTCGCACAACTACCGTTGGGGGCATACAAAGATGTATTAAATGAAGTAACAAAGTTAAATAAACACTGATTAAAATAAAACAAAGCTGGTAAATTGAGGGCGCTCCCGTAGTATGTGAACCAAGGTGGTGGACACCGAAACGTGTACCAGGTTAGGGTTAGGACATAATTTTATTCCAATTTTCCTTATTTTAGTTCTATTATGAGTTCGGGGACTAGCCAAGTGACTTCAGTAGTATTTGTACCTGAACTTATGGCCTAACCCTAACCTGGTACACATACTACATTCCGGTGTCCGCCATCTTTGTTCACATAGTACATGACTACCCAATTGAGAACTAATAACAAAATTTTAATTACAATATAACAGAACTTTATGAATAATCTGTATATTTAAGTTACCTATATACTTCTAAACCTTCATAAGACTTATATACGACACGTCAGTCCTTCCATTCGTTTTCTAAATATATTTTCAAGTTATCGACTTAATATTTTATATCTATTATATTCATAAAATGAACCTTGATACGTTAAAGAATACAGATTTAATACAGAATACTATTTATTTATGCATTAGACGCGCTAATAATGTTCGTTCACATGCCAGACAATCGCGCGTTTGATAATATACGCGTCAACAGGGAAATATCAAGCACCGCTATTTGATTACAATTTCCTGTATTATCGGTAATCAAATTCTAAAATGGTGATAAAATCATATGACTCGCGGTTGGCAATAATTAATCATTCCAATAGCAACTGTGACTGCATATATAGTCAAAATTGTTTAACGACTACATTGATATGTTTAATTAGACTCATAGCCCACATCTCATCGTTTGCGAATTGGTGTCTATTGAACAAACAAAAAAACATTTTCAATAGAGGACTCAGGCCAAAGAGGGGAATGTGCCACTTCATATGATTACTCTAACAATTTACTTATAGTTTTATATCTATCCTAACCTAGGTTCTGCAACATGCCATAAATCGCACTCTACACGCTTACTCTAACCATTTGCGCAAAGTCCTAATCTATCCTTACCCAAAACATATATTAAATTTTTTTCACGCGTACTCTAGCCATTACTTTTAAGTTTTATATTTATTCCCAGCCCGAAACATTTTCTACGTTATCAAAACCAAATACATTCAATATATAAACTGGTACAATTTTACTCTAGACTATGTTAAACACGCCGCTCCTAATTTTCAAATAACCTATATCCCCTAATATTATATATGTAGCGATTAAATTCACCGGAAGCAGAAAATACACGTCGGTTTACAAGCAATTGAGCAAACAAGATGACAACGAAGAAATCTGACGCACGTTAGATCAAGAAAGGCCGTTTCTCCAGTGACGTATCTTCGGTATGGCAGACAATTTGGATGAGGGTGAAAAAATAGAGAAAGTATTAATTGTAAAAAGTTTCGGATGAATATTTTCAAATTGGAAATTGAAACTCATTTTAACTCAAATAGTAACGTACAAGTATCTCATTTCAACAAGAGCCGTTAATTTTTGTCAGTTTGCGAACAAAAAGGCGCATATTTGAACTTGACCCGTCAGAGCGCCATTTTACGTAGATAAACCACTGCCAATCTCTTACTGCGGCTGAGTAAAAATATGAATTAGGCAATCGAAAAAGGGCTTCGCGTTGTTATCTTACAAATTGTTACCAACGAGGTTGGGAACCAGGGGATATATAATAGTGGTCTGGAAAGATCAAGTGTGATGTTTCATGTTAGGAATTTCAATTTCAATATGCCTAAATGTTTTGAACATGAATGAAAATTGTTGATAAATCTGTCAAGATATGTTTAAATATTATTATAAAAAATTTGGGATTTTTGTACAAAGCCCCCACCAAAAAAACACCCCAGCCACCGCTCATAATTAGAAACTTAGTAATTAATCAGTAAGCGTCAGGGTGAGGGCTAGGAATGCAGATTGCGCTTGAAATTTAAATTTTTAAACCATTCCTAACCCAAAATGGATAATTATTAAATTGTTATTTTAAAACTTGGCGGAGTGTTTTTCTCGAATCTCGCATTTTTGAATTAGTGGCAAAGGCTTTGTATAAAAAAAAACGAGCGTTCAAATATAGCAATTTCATTTAATTCGTCGATAATGCGATTTACTTTATCACTAATTTGCTACAGTGCGGTCTCATCGGGAATATAATACGAATCAATCGATTGCAATTGTAACGCAAGGATCAACAGATAAGCATCAATCACTAATCGCTAGAAATAAAAAATAAATAAGGCTGCCCTCTGAGCAGGACGATCGCCTTAGAATTTGCAAATAAACCTAAATTAGTTTGTGAGCTGCAAGAACGGGGATCCCAGGACCTCACCTTGCGTAAACTCGCGGATACTCCCGTAGTATGTGAACCAAGATGGCGGACACCCGAACGTAGTATGTGTAGTAAGTTAGGGTTGGGCCATAATTTTGTTCCAATTTTTTTTATTTTAGTTATATTATAGGTTTGGAGAATAGCTAAGTTACTCCCGTAATATTTGTACCTGGAATTATAGCCTAACTCTAACCTGGTACACATACTACGTTCCGGTGTCCGCCATCTTGGTTCACATACTACGGGAGTACCAACTCGCGTAATAAAAATGCATTTTTGAGACAATATAAAGGGAATTTTCAGTTTACTTTGTAAAGGAGTCCTCAATTAAAAGCACCAAATAATGATAAATGTAGAGTGGTGGGTTAATTAAACCTTATCCCACCCTCCTAACACTAACTTATACTTCCATTCCTATGCACAAAACTACTCTATTTGTGGGGCTCCCGAAGTATGCGAACCAAGATGGCGGACATCGGAATGTAATATGTGTACTAGGTTAGGGTTAGGCCATAATTTTAGGTATAAATACTACGAAAGGCTCTTGGCTAGTCTTCGAACTGATAATAGGAAAATTGGAAAAAAATTATCGCCTAACCCTAACTTGTTACCCATGTTACGTTCCGATGTCCGCCATCTTGGTTCGCATACTTCGAGAGCACCCTATTTGCTCAATTTTTAATACCGGTAGAATCTTTTCTGGTGTTATGCGCAAGTTGCACTTCCGTATCTGAAGAGTTCAACTAGTTTATTATGTGTTTGTGAATAAGTTTTATAATAATAATAAAGAACTAAAAAACATTAGTAACACTACAAAAAAAAAACAAAGCAAAATTCCTACCACGAACGACAAAACTCTTCCCAGATTAGGAAACACAGTCCTTAAATTGGTTAAAAAGAGAAAAATGCGAATAAGAAGCTTGGGCTGTTCCAATGAAAGCGCCTTAAACGCACAATATACGGAATACATTAGGAATCAATCGATTGCATTCGTAATACAAGGATTACAACATTGAACACTAGTCGTTCAGGATTAAAAATAAATAATATTACACTCTGAGCAAGATGAATAATGAATAAAGTAAAAATTCCATTTGAAAAAAAATCCTGCGAATAGATTGTTAACTTACATTATTCGCTTTTAACGGTGACCTTTCCACTTCTTGAGAGCTAATCATCTTACTTTGAGCAAATTCGCGTAACAAAATTTGATTCGAAGAAATCATAGGGCTGATTTTATTTATTTATTTTAAAGCGAGGTCGGAGTCTCATTGATACATCAAGCGTGGTAACTGGTTCGGGAACCACGAAGACAAGGAAGTCGAACGAGTGAAAGTAATATGCCTTGTGGTACATCGTTACATCGTGTTACGACTCCATATTACATAATTTTTTATGCTTTTTC